CCCAGCCTCTCTGAGGGAGAAAAGCGAGGCTGTCTGTCCCTGTAAAGGTTCACAGCCTTGAAAACTCTAAGGGGAGGGGGGGCAATTCTGCTCTGTCCTATGGGGTCTCTCTGAGGTGCAACTGTTGCCACGGTAGTGGGCCTGGCAGACAGCTGTGGGTGTTCCGCAGAAAGCGGGGCAGAATGGCTAAGGTGGATTCCGACTCATAGTCACCCTGTAAGTCACAATGGGGACCTGCCATGTCCAGAGGCGTCTCTGGTCTGTGATGCTCACCAGACACGTGACAGCCAGAGACAGATGGGTTTGAACCTTCAGAACCTGGCTGTTTTGACTGAAACAGAAACAAACTCACTGCCATTGTGTCCAGTCTGACTCATGGTGACCCCATAGGACAGGGCAGAACTGCCCCTGTGGGTTTCCGAGACTAACTCTTTAGGGGAGTAGCAAGCCCTGTCTTTCTCCTGAGGAGCAGCTGGTGGTTTCGAACTTTAGACCTGTGGTTTGCAGCCTCACATGTACCCACTATACCACCAGGGCTCCTCCAGGTGTGATGAGAGCAGATCTACAAGGCCGGCCCCGAGGATCTCTGAGGCAGTGGGTGCTGTGGTAGAACTCCTGCCTTCCATGTGTGAGACCCAGTTCGATTCCAGGGCAAGACACCTCGTGTAACGCCACCAGCCACCCGTCACAAGGAGGCTTGAGCATAGCCAGTAAAGAAGACCACAATCCTCACAACTGGACCAGTGGGTAACAGCATGACAAACGGAGAAAAGGCTGAGGTTGTCAGGGATTGTGTCTTGCTTGGGTCCAGAGGCAATGGTCATGGTAGCAGCAATCAGGAGATCAAAGAATGCATTGCATTAGGTAAATCTGCTGCCCAAGGCCTCTTTAGAGAGTTGAAATGCAAAGAGGTGACTTTGAGGACTCAGATGCACCTGAGCCAAGCCATGGCATGGAATTTCCAATCACCTCAGAGGCACGTGAAAGCCGGGCACTGATGAAGGAAGACCAACGACGAATCGGGTGCGGTTGAACTATGATGTTGGGGAGGTATATTGAAAGTACCAGGGACTGCCAAAAGAACAGAGAGATCGCTCTCGGAAGAAGCACAGCCAGACTGCTCCTGAAGCAAGGATGGCCAGACATCATCTCGGGACTTTGGACGTGTGGTTAGGAAAGACGGGTCCCTGGAGAAGGGCATCGTGTTGGGTAAAGTAGAGCGGCAGCGAAAAAGAGGAAGACCCTTGGCACGAGGGAGGGACACAGTGGCGGCAACAACGGCTCAAACATAAGGCCGACTGTGAGGATGGGGCCGGGCCGGGAGGTGGTTCCTTCTACTGTACATAGCGCATGGGTCGGGACGGACTCCATGGCACCTGACAACTGGATGCTGAACAAGCCAGACGAGGAAGAGAAAGCTGGAGGTCTCGGCCTAAAATCTGCCTGCACCCGCAACACTGGGAATACAGGACAGATAGAACCCTCAGGGCCAACAGGGAGAGTAGAGCTACCAGAAGGATTAGGGGAGGGTTGGGGAGAAAGGGGCAATCGATCACAAGGATCAACCTAGAACCCCCTCCCAGGGGGACAAATAACAGGAAAGTGGGTGAGGGGTGATGGAGGATGCTGTAAGATATGCAGAAAATAACCTATAACTTATCAAGGGTTCGTGAGGGAGGGCGGGGAAAGAAATGGGTGGCTGATATCAGGGGCTCAAGTGGGAAGAGAATGCTTTGAAAAGGATGATGGAGGCATATGTACAAATGTGCTTGACACATTGGAGAAATGTATGGATGGTGATAAGAGATGTCAAAGTATTTTTTTTTAAATCTGCCTGTAAAAGTCCTTTGGGTTCCCAGCTGGGAGTGGGGGTGGTGCAGGGCCCTACAGTAGGGGCAGACTGCACCTCAACCCACCACCATCAGGAATCTCTACCTTCGGGAAGCTGGTGATGACACAGTCCCGGCTCACAGGTGGCCCCCACGGCTTCAGGCTGGCCCTCATCCTCCTGGAGTCCTGGGGATCAGAGGAAAGAGTTAGGCAACTGCCCACAGGTTTCCCTGCCAGGCCCTCGAGGCTCACCAGAGAAGGCTATCTGACCTACGAAGGCCTCCCACCCCCACCCCACCTCCCATTTACAGCCCTGACTGGTCCTGCTCAGAACCGGGGACCAGCATCCCCCAGGCTAGGGTCCAACCAGTGCGGGTAAGCTCTGGCCCACCTGGTGGAGGCGGGACGGGAAGGATCCTGCTCCAAGTTCCCACAGACTAAGGGCTGGGCCTGGGAGGGGGTCCACCCCCAGCATCCGCAGGCAGCCCAGCACCCACGCCCCCTCTGGGTGCCCCTGATCCAGGCCCGGATTGGGGCTTCCTTGGCTGCCCTCCTCGGTGACCAGGCCCGCCGGCCCGCCGGGCGCCAGGGCGGGAGGTTGCGGGCCGAGGCCAGGTTTGTCTGGGTCGTGCAGGAAGAAGCCCAGAGCTCCACGCGCACTCACCTGCAGCCCAGGCAGCTACTGCTGCAGCGGGGGTTCTGAGCTTAGCCCGCGGCGCCAATCACCATGGCAACGAGGCCCCACTCGGGACTTGCGGGCTCCAGGCGGGGCTCGGCTCTGGGCGGAACCCGACCCGGGGAGAGTCACGCATGCGCCCTGCACAGGCAATCTGCATGACAACGGGGCCGGGCCGGGCGGGCGGGGCCAAAACGGACAGGGGGCGGGGATTAGCTTGGGGGCGTGGTCTGGACGGGGAATGGTCCAGGCACCGGAGGTCACCATGGTAACAAAGGCCTCGCCAGAGCGGCTGACTGCAGAAGGGCGGCCAGTGGAGAGATCTGTTGCCAGGCAATTACCAAGGCAACGAGGGTGGTGCCTGGGAGACAGGGCTGGGCGGAGCCAGGATAGCCGGAAAGTGCTGTCGGGTCCCTGGGCGGAGAGGGACTTGGAAAGTGGCTGGCGCGCACGTGGTTGGCGCTGGGGACCCACCATGGTTGGGGGAGGCGGTTGCTTCAGGGCTAGGGAAATGTTTTAATATCTTCTTTTGTGGTACATTAAATATGTACTTTTTTCTGGTTAGTTATTTCCCGCGCCACCAGTACACCCTGTAGGTTGCACTGTCTACCCCGGGCAGGGCCACCCTCTTCCCATCCCTCACCTAGAAGCCTTGCTCTGGCTTATTCCAGAGTCAGCCCCAGTGAGCCTGTTGAAACACATCATATGATACCTGTTCTTAACACACACACACACACACACACACACACGCTCCTGCCACACACTCGGATAAAGTCCTTATGTGGTCCCCCCTAAGCCCCACGTAATTCTCCCCATCGCCATCTCTCCTGCTGTGGGGTCTACTACTTCCTGCCAGTCACTAGCCTCTTTGATGTCCTGGCACGCACCACCATGCATGGGGGTGGAGAGGTGTTGAACGGATTGCCCATAGACCTGGAGCGGCCTTCTCCAGATCCCCAAGCGGCTCTCTCCATCACTTCCCATTCACCCCCTGCTCTGAGTTGATTCCAACGCATAGTGACCCTACGGGACTGAGTAGAACTGCCCCTTTGGGTTCCTGAGCTTGTCAACCTTTTTGAGAACAGACGGTCTCCTCTTTCTCCCTGGAAAGGACAGATGGGTTTCAAACTGCTGACCTTCTGCTTAGCGCTTCAATGCCTGACCCACTGTGAAACCATACCCTGCCAGTTTGCTCAAATGTCACCTCTAGCTGGGGTCTCTCCGGACTACAGTGTGTACAATTTTACCCTCTGTCAAACCCCTTCTGCTCTGCCACTCTCTAAGACGGTGGTTCTCAAC